TATAGACTAGCACTTTGTCTATTATAGTGTAGAGGTTAGGAACCACAAGATGTAGAGGTTCAGCTATGTGATTTATGGTTCTTAAGTACTGGAGCAAATTCCATCTACCACTGGGCTGTTTTACAACTTGGAAGTTCGCATGCAAGGTGGAGGTGAAGTAAGGAACTGCTTATGAAGTTTTCCGTCCATTCCAACAACTAAGAAATAGTGAGAAGAGTTGGGACCTCAGAAGGCTTTTAGGACCAATTAGTAGTCTCTGTGTCCAGGAGAAAATGAATATACTTACCAGTAATGTTAATGCTCATCCACAGATCTTCTAGGAGGATCTAAATCGTTGGAGCGTCCTCCTTTGTTTCCAGCTGGGAGCTGGGGTCTGTCAGTCCTGTCTGCCATGAGGACCTGATTTGGGCACCTTGGCCAAGTGTCCTTCAGAGCCACACTTAAAGCAAGTGAGTGTGAGCTACCTCTCTACTCTCTTGCCTATCTGTGACTCTCGTCTGTGACACAGGACCTTTGTTTTCTGGATGTAGAGATGCAATCCATATTGAAGACTGTAGTCCTTGATCTTCTTCAGCAAGCATTTCAGTTTCTGAAGCAAGCATCCTCATTTTCAGCAAGCCAGGTTGTTGGTGAATCTTCCTCCTATCCTGACGTATTTCTTGTCATAGAATCAGCAGACAGATTGATTAGATAGGGAGAAAGGATAGAACCTTGATGCACACATTTCCTGATTTTAAACCATGGAGTGTTCCCTTGCTTTATTCAGACAACAGCTTCTTGGTCTGGGTGTAAATTTCATATAAGCATAATTTAAGTGTTCTAGGATTCCCATTCTTCTCAATGTTAGTCATAGTTTCTTATGCTCTACAAAGTCAGATGTCTTTGCAGCCACTAAAGCACAGACTTCCTTCTGGTATTCTCTGCTTTCAGCCAGGATCCATCTGATATAAGCAATGATATCCCTGGTGATGTGGCTTCTTCTAAACCCAGCTTCAACTTCTGACAGTTCCTTCCGAAGTACTGTTCTAGCAATTTTTGGATGATCTTCAGCAATATTTTGCTTGCATGCAATATTAATGATGTTGTTGTTGTTGTTATGTGCCATCGAGTAGCTTGCAACTTATAGCGACCCTATGTACAAGAGCCCCAAACCCTGCTCTATCCTGTGCCAACTTCACTGTCTACAACACAGTCACTCCCACCACCCTAATCACAGAATTGATCCATCTCATTGAGGGTCTTCCTCTTCTGTGTCATGCCTCCAATCTTCCAAACATGATGTCCCTCACCAAGGACCGGTCCCTCCTTACAACATGCTCAAAGTATGTCAGATGAAGCTTCAGAATCCTTGACTCCAAGGA